GGGTGGCGTCAGTCTCGTCTATCCGGGAAGAGGTCATTGTGCCACAGAGTAGGCTTTTGAACGTAAGTGGCTCTTGCATTGGGTTTTTCTAAACGAAGTGAAATGTTTGCACCCCACATCATAAAGAGAGTGGTTCAACTGTGAATTGGGGCCTGGTAGCGATCGGAGGCTGTGATCGGAGGATCCGGATTCCAAGCCAGCCTGGTCAGGAAATGCAGGAGACTGCCATTAATCAGCCCAAAGCTACCCGGGGAGCTGTGGCTCCGTGGTAGAGCACCAGCCTTGAGCAAAAGCAGCTCAGGGACAGCCCGCGCCCTAGGGCCCTGCTCCCGATCTGGCTAAATAAATAACTACACAAGTTAGTTTGGGAGCAGGCATCAATTGGTGTTTGCAGAGTTACTTTAGTGCTAGTACGGAGGCTTGAAATCAGGAACTGGGCGCTGTTCGTTGGCTGGTTAATTTTTGATAACCCACCTGGGTAGGTTTGAGCCCTGAACCTTAGATCTCTTGAGTAACTAGCATTACAGGCATGAGCCACTGGCGCCTGGATTAACCTCTTCTTTTGTGGTTTAGGCTTCACACATTTACCTCTTTGTCTGAAATCTGTCACATCCTCCAGCTGGAACATAATCTCCCAAATTCCCTGTCTTGCTGAGATGAGAACACAGGTCTTTCAATGCTCTTTTTGCTAGTCTATGGGAAAAGATGATAAACATTGGGTAATTATAATGTTTAGGTACAGTAGCTCTTCTAACTTGTGAAGGGAGGTATATATTACAATTTATTGTTTTGATGGAGGTAATGGGATTTGAACTCATGGCTTCAGGCTTGCTAGGTAGGTACTCAACTGCTGAGAGATGCTGACTTTTGTATTTAATAGCATTTGAATGTTAAGTGCAGTCACAGACATTTGAAGGATTTTTTTTATCCAAGTTCGGGTTCTGCCACAAAAAAGTATCTTTCTAAAGATACTTGAACCTTCATTTTCTTTTATGATTCTTTTAATCCTTATCCAAGTGGTTCACCTGTGAAGCACCTGTTTCCCTCTATGACAAAGGAGAGAAAGAGAAAGAAAGAAAAGAAAGATATCCGTTATGCCAAGGTCGCAGGACCCCCACCAAGAAGACCATGGAGAGTCAGACTCTACAGCTGTTTTACTTAAACAGGCTGCAGCTCGGGCCTCGTCCTACACTCTGACACAGCGGAGCCCAGGAGGAGAGCCCCGAGCTAAGGATTTGCAGGTCTTATAAGGGCACACAACCAGGTAGTTTAGCACCAAGTGTTGCCCTGCTCTGAAACAAGCAACAAATGGTCACTGCCTCAAATACTCTAACCTTTCATATCTTGCCCATGTAATTGTAACTCCTCTGTATGGTATTCTCACAATTTAAAAAAAAAAAAAAACGAAAGAAAGAAGAAAGAAAGAGAAAGCCAGTCCTGGAGCTTGAACTCAGGGCCTGGGTGCTGTTCCAGAGCTCTTTTGCTCTAGGCTAGCACTGTACCACTTGAGCCACAGGTCCACTTCTGGCTTTTTTGGTGGTTAAGTGGAGATAATAGTTTCACAAACTTTTCTGCCAGGACTGTCTTTGAATTGTGATTCTCAGATCTCGGCCTCCTGAGTAGTTACAATCACAGGTGTCAGCCACCAGCACCTGCCACATTTATAATAAATAGGTAGGTAGCTAGGACATCAATGAACAAAATGTTTGAATTTTATTTATTTTTTTTGGTCAGTCGTGGGGCCTGAGCTCTGGGCCTGGGCGCTGTCCCTCAGCTCTTCAGCTCAAGGCTAGTGCCCTACCACTTGAGCCACAGCGCCACTTCCGGCTTTTTTCTGCTTATGTGGTGCTGAGGAATGGAACCCAGGGCCTCATGCATGCGAGGCAAGCGCTCTACCACTGAGCCACTTTCCCAGCCCAATATTTGAAATTTAATAGTTATTTTCTTATGAGTAAGAGGGTCTCAAACTTTGAATACAGTGACTGATTTTATTAAATGGTTAAGAACAAAGAGCCCTTGATTAGTTAAGTACACTGCCCTTTTGGTTTTAAGACTCAAATACTTTCTTAACTGGCATCTTATATGGATAAATGTTTTTCCATTTTTGTACCCTTGGGTTTAAGTATTTAAAGTTTCCTTTGAATGAGACTCATTGGTAGTTTTTTTTTTTTTTTTTAGGATGGGGAACACCACATCATCGCCTTTAGGGAAGTCATCAAGTACTCCTGTGAAACAGATCCAGGTGAGTGACAGGGCAGATGTAGAAAAATCTATGGGAAGAGTTGCTTTACACATTTAATTGCCTAGTATGTGTACAACCGTGGCAGAGTTTAGCAATGTGCCAGGTTCTGTCTCATTTTTTTTTTTTTTTTGGGTCCGGTCATGGGGCCTGAACTCTGGGCCTGGGCGCTGTCCCTCAGCTCTTCAGCTCAAGGCTAGCACTCTACCACTTGAGCCACAGCGCCACTTCTGGCTTTTTTCTTTTTGCTTATGTGGTACTGAGGAATCGAACCCAGGGCCTCATGCATGCAAGGCAAGCACTCTACCACTGAGCCACCTTCCCAGCCCTCTGTCTCATTTTTTGTAGTCAAAATTTATGACACTTATTTTTTTTTTTACAATGAAACCAGACATGATCTTTATTTATAATCCTCATGTAGTAAAAAAGGAATGCCTAGGTAGTTACTATTGTTACTTTTTCAGCACAAAGTATTTCTAAGGTTTCAACAAGTAACCAGGCTTTGGCTTAATTCACTGTAGTGACTTAGTACAGGATGGACATGCTGGATCAAGATATGACACTTATTTTTAATGGAACCTCTCTTCCAAGTTGGATCTGTGAGAGTGCTTTTCATTTTACCCACTTTAAGTAAACTGTTGATGCCTTTCATTCAAGCTGGCCCTAACTATGGATACTATTTGATTTGGGCCTGGCTTAACAGCTTTCTACCCTGACACAGAAGCTAGTATGCAGTAGTTACTCCATGTTTCCTCTTTGGTATGCTGTACATTGCTGTGTTCCTCTTTGTGTTGATGGTTTTTTCTTTTGGAGTTTGAACTCAGCACCTCATGCTTGTTAGGCCAACATTATACACTCTAGCAAGGTCTCCAAACCATGCTTTTTGCTGGTTATTTTGGAGATGGGTCCAGCAAACTTTTCTGCTTACGCTGGACTTAAACTGCAATCCTCCTGAGTAGCTAGGATTACAGTCATGAGCCACAGGTGCACGGCTTTGCTTTCCTGTTTTGAGCCTTTCTAGTGATGGTGCTGCTTTTGATCCACCCCTTAAAAGCAATCTAGAGAGATGCTTTGGTGCTTGACTTGTGCATTCAAAATCTGCCTGATAGCCAGGCGTAAAATCTCTTGGAGAGATGCTTAGAGCAAAACAAACTTCACAGGCTCTGCAGGCACATAGAAAAATCGTACTTTTATCACTGTTTTATGATTTAGATGTGTGTGTGGGTTATGGGAATTTAAATCAGAACCTAGGTGCTATCCCTTAGCTTTTCATTCAAGGCTGGTGCTCTACCACTTGGGCCACTACTCCACTTCTAGCTTTTGGATGGTTAATTGGAGGTGAGTCTCTCAAGGATTTGTCTGTCCAGGCTAGCTTCAAATGCAGTCTTCAGATGTCACTCTCCTGAGTAGCTAGGATTACAGGTGTGAGCCACCACCACCAAACCATGATTTCTTTTCCAAAAGTTAATGTCCAGAATTGAGTTTTCACTTTTGTTTTCATTTCAGCAAACAATTTCTGATAATTGTGTGGTGATTTTCTCAAAAACATCCTGTTCTTACTGCAAAATGGCAAAGAAGATTTTCCACGACATGAATGTTAATTATAAAGCTGTAGAGTTGGACAAGCTTGAATACGGGAACCAGTTTCAAGACGCCCTTTGCAAAATGACAGGAGAGGGCACGGTGAGTACCTCCTGAGCAGGCTGGTGGCCGGGCCTTCACACGGCGGCCCTTCAGGGGAGGGAAAGCAAGTCTGGGCTCTGTAATCATCAAACAAATAGCAAATCTAGAAATGGATTCTTGAATGGGGAAGAGCAGAGTGAGTTCATTCTCATTTGTGTTCTTGTGTATGGGTTGAGGGTACCACTGTGTCCTCATGAACGTCTAGATCCCTTTGGAGTACTTTTCAAAATAATGGAAACCATTCTTGTGTTATAACCGGTATTAGTATGGTGCTTAGTGCTCTTCATTCTGGATTCTTGAGTTTGTAGCCTTTTCTATAACATGCATACTCAATCTGGCTGGTTCCCTTTGTTTATATGCACATAGGAATCTGCAAGGAGTGTATTCTTCAAGTAATTATATATAAGCAAGCTGGTGGCGCACACCTGTAATCCTGTCTACTCAGAAGGCTGAGATCTGCCTGGGCAGAAAAGCCATCAGACGGTTTTGTTTTATGGGCTTTGGTGCTGTCCTTGAGCAGTCATTCTTATTAATAGTGACTTCATCTTTTTTTTTTTTTTGGTCCGGTTGTGGGGCCTGAACTCTGGGCCTGGGCACTGTCCCTCAGCTCTTCAGCTCAAGGCTAGTGCTCTACCATTTGAGCCACAGCACCACTTCCGGCTTTTTTTTCTCCCTCATGTGGTGGTGAGGAATCGAACCCAGGGCCTCAGGCATGCAAGGCAAGCACTCTACAATTGAGCCACCTTCCCAGCCCCGACTTCATCTTTTATAGTAATTAGAATCTTGGGCAAGTTATGCACCCTCATCTTTCTCCAAAATTGGGGCTAAACTTGGCCTGGGAATGTGGCTCAGTGGTAGAGTGCTTGCCTAGCATGCACAAAGCCCTAGGTTGGATTCCTCAGTACCACATAAACACAAAAAGCAGAAAGTGGTGCTGTGGCCCATGTGGTAGAGTGCGCAAAGGAAGCTCAGGGACAGCACCCAGGACACCCTTCCCCCCGCCCCGTGCCACCTCCCCCAACAAAAGAAAATTGGGCTGAACTTAGCACCCAGCCTGTCAGCCTCTGTCATTCTGAGGAGTGGTTTTATACTGGTCACCAAGGCTTTTGATCGCCCCACAGGTCCCACGGATTTTCGTCAATGGAACTTTTATTGGCGGTGCAGCTGACACACATCGGCTACACAGGGAGGGGAAGCTTCTGCCGATGGTTCACCAGTGTTACTTAAGACAGAATAAGAGGGAGGAGTGTCAGTGATGTGCCCCGACTCCCCATCGTCTGCTCTGAGACCCAGCGATAATGCCATAGCTCCTCTTACACACTGCAGGATGATTGTGAATCACCTTAACCAACAGTGAAGATAACCAAAGATAAATTGTTGTGGAAACTTCGTCTTCCTGTCGTTTCTTTTGGGGGCAGTAGTCCAAGCGTGAACTCAGGACCTTAAGCTTGTAGTTTCTCTTCCACTTGAGTCACGCTTCTTTCTGCCTTTTCAGGCAGGGCTTCAAGTCCTTGCCTCGGCTTGGCTTCTAGCTGCAGTCCTATCTAGGTGGAATTACAGGTACAAAATGTCATGCCTAATTAATTGAGATTGCTTCCTGCTAATATTTTTGCCCAGACTGGCCTTGAACCTCTCCCAAGCAGCTGGGACTATAGGTGTGAGTTACCATGCCCAACGTTGCCAATTCTTGAGCAAAAGAGATGGTGTTCTTACTGTGCCACTCCTGGGGCTTGAACTCTGGGCCAGGTATTGTCCCTGAGCTTTTGTGCTCAAGGCTAGTGCTCTACCACTTTGAGTCAATTCCATTTCTGGCTTTTTTGGTGATTAATTGGAGTCTCATGGACTTTCCTGCCTGGGCTGGTTTTGAACCATGATCCTTAGATCTCAGCCTCCTGTGTAGCTAGGATTACAGGTGTGAGCTACTGGTGCCCGACTAAGATGGTATTTATGAGAATGGACTTGTGTCAAAAAGGAAATGTTTAGGAATTTGTGTAGGCATTTTAAGAGCTAGGTTTTGTGCTCTCCCGTATTTAGGAGATGTGACCAGATGTTTGGGGTTCACGCCCATCATCCTAGCTACATGGAGGCTGAGGTTTGGTGGACCCAAGTCCAGGCCAGACAGGACAGGAAAGATATGCACCAAATTTCTCAGATACAAGAGGTACAAAAACAACTGGCTATGATAAAGGGCCAAGGGCCTGGCTAAGCAAAGGGTGAGGCTCTGAGTTCAAACTGCAGGGCTGCCAAAGAAACAAAAAAAATTGTGTCTTGCATAAACTCAAAGTCTTGATCCTATAGTGAACTCTACTGGAAAAGAAACTCAACTAAAGCTGGGTGCCAGTGGCTACTTAGGAGGCTGACATATGAGGATCATGGTTCAAAGCCAATGAGACTCCAATAAACTACACCCAAAAAAGCTGGTGGTGGACTTGAGACTCAGGTGGTAGAACTCTAGCCCTGAGAAAAAAAAATAGGGACAGTGCCCAATTCAAGCCCTAGGGGGGCAGGGGTGGGGAGAAATAAACCACCAACTATACTTAAATGCCTGTGTGCAAATTTGGGGCATTAAAACTTGACTTTACCTTGACCTATCATAAAAGGTTATTTAAGGGTATTAGCTAGGAGGGATATTATCAACCTTAAAACTCCTACTACTTAAATGAAATAGACAATTGTTTGATGTGCATAGGATTTATTTGGTATACCTACCAATTTCTACAATAAACTGGCCAGAAACTCATCATGCTTACCTGCAGTCTATGTGTGTGGTCATGAACAGACTGAACAACCCTAAATGAGGAAATTCAGTCTTTACAGCATGTGTGACAGCTTGCAGGTAAGTGTGCATATACTACAAACACATCCACTTTGAGGTGTGTGTAAGGTGTGCAGGGCATATCCCAAGTGCTCTCAAAACCTGAAACATTCCCCAACATCCCTGGTGCCAAGCATTTCAGATAAAGGACACTCAACTGGTGTTCAATGAAGTACTCTGCAGAGTTAGGTAGGAGAAAGATTTCACAGTACTGGTAATGGTGTTCAATAAAGTACTTTGCAGTGTTAGGAGAAAAAGATTTCACAGTATTGGTGACAATTTTTATATTGATGTCAATTGAAAAATTAGTATGTTCATTCATTGCTGATGAGAACATAGCAAAATTACATGGAGAGCTGTTTGTTTACAGTGAACTTGGAAGACTTAACAAAATACCAGGTGCTCAGCAGTCCTGGCAAAACCCCCACTTCCCAGGCAGGCTCCTTTCCTTGGAAATAAAACTTGCTTTCTGTAACTGTACACATTGCTGAAGCTTGACAACTCAAGGTGTGGTTTTCTTCCAGTTTTATAAGACATTCTTGCTTTGAAAGGCAAGGTAAAGATGGGAATGTAATAAAAAAAAAAAAACCACAGGTCTGTATGCTGCTCAGTTCAGTCAGCTCAAGGTTTTAGCGCTCTGTCAGATCACAGGTCTGTATGCTGCTCAGTGCAGTCAGCTCAAGGTTCTGGCTCTCTGTCAGAATTTGCTTGTAGGCATCAAAATACTTGCCTTTTGTCTTGAAGAATTCCCTTAAAAAGCGACCATTTTTGAAACCATCATTCATAGTTAAGTATTCAAGTTGGTCCTTGGAGGTCATGATATAAAGTTCAGCTTATTGGATAACTGGTTTTATGCAAAACAATAAAAAGCACTACCATAAAATGCTACTGACATTAGTCACAACACAACAGTGCACCCAGATTATTCTACCCATGTTTACAGTACTAAGATACAACCAGGTTTTTAAATAGTTAAAATTCCCATTCTCTATGAAAAATTAAAAGCTCGAAAAGACCCTTGAGTTCTACACTTCATAACTATTATAACACTATTAAGGCATTACTGAATGACGACCCCAAAGTAAGGAAGTAGTATGCCTGTGTAGGATATTAATGGTATATTAAGGCAGTCAAAAGGGTCTTTTTTAAAATTTAAACGTTAAGGCCATTAAGATACTTAAATTGATTCTATGCAGACATCATTCAGGATAATTTAAATATCCATCAAGTGGCCAATCCTGGAAATGAAAGCTATTACAAAAAGCAAACAGACCCTTCAGAAAGATTCTAACAGTCCCCCTCTCCCAACTTTAAGAGGAAGGTATTTACTATCTCATTCCTTTGGAGAGTTTGTTATTAGAAATTGGCAATGCAAGGAAGACAACGTAACTCCAATACATTACAAAGGAAGTCTAGTCACAATACCAAATATAGGTGGTATTTAGGTTAAGAGTGCAAAAAAACCCATTTTCTCATTTCTATCCATTAGGTGTTTAAATTTGGCTTCAGTATTAGAACTTTACACTGCAAACAGCCTAGTAAGCCATCTAACGTAAGTATCAATCCAGTTGTATTGATAGTAGATTCTACCAATTATTTATGGTGATGGTTGTCTAAAACAGTGAGTGTTTAGCCTCAGTCACCACTCCAAACAATCTATTATCTCCCTTGCTTAAGTACAGATTCTCCTAAAATGTTAAACTTTTTTTTTGGGTGCCAGTCTTGGGGCTTAAACCTAGGGCCTTGGTGCTATCCCTGAACTTCTGCTTAAGGTTAGTGTTCTACCACTTCAGCCACAGCTCTACTTCTACTTAGTTAATTGAAGATTAATTACTTTCTTGCCTGGGGCTGGCTTTGAACTGTGATCCTCAAATCTCATTTTTTTTTTTTTAAGTTGGTTGTATAGGGTTGAACTCTGGGCCGGGGCACTGTCTCTGAGCTCCTCAGCTCAAGACTAGCACTCTACCACTTGAACCACAGCATCATTTCCGGCTTTTTTCTGTGTATGTGGTACTGAGGAAGAGAACCCAAGGCTTCTTTATGCATGTTAGCCAAGCACTTTACCACTGAGCCACATTCCCAGCCCCTTAGTCTCTTGAGTAGCTAGGACTCGAAGGCGTGAGCCATAGTCTGTTTAAACATTTTAAAATTAAAAATGGAATTTTACTCATTCATAAAGGTAATATATGCATGCCTAAATTAGAAGCAAAAGGAGTAAAAAACTTCTTGGGGTCAGAAACAGCTCTGTTCTCATTAGTCACCTTAAATTCAGTAGTAAGATTTTGCAACCTATTTTCTATTATTTTCCCATAGATATTGCTATATTCAGGGTTTAGGAAAATGTGTCATTCTAGTATGTTCAGGCTACATCATTAGTATTCTAGGTAGAAAATATTATCAAGAATTACCTTTGTAGTTAATTTCATAAGAATTTTTCAAGAGAAAGTAAGAAATTTACTAATTGTAAAGATGTTGAGTGTCAATACAAGTTATTTACAAGTTTTCTCACACTGTATACTCTGTGTGCATGTAAACTCAGGAAAGACTAAAAAACCAAAGATTCTGATAATAGTATTTACAATGACGATAACAGAAGCCTGGAGACTGCTGTTTCAGAGCATGCTTGGCCACTCTTCCAGGAATGCTCACTTAGAAAAGTACCTTTCTAGGGCTGGGAAAGTGGCTCAGTGGTAGAGCGCTTGCCTTGCATGCATTAGGCCCTGGGTTCGATTCCTCATCCTCAGTTCCACGTAAGCAAAAAGAAAAAAGCCGGAAGTGGCACTGTGGCTCAAGTGGTAGAGCGCTAGCCTTGAGCTGAAGAGCTGAGGGACAGCGCCCAGGCCCAGAGTTCGGGACAAAAAAAAAAAAAGTACCTTTCTAGAGCCCCATGTGGGTAAATATATCTCTAACTGCTAACAAAGGCTGGATGATGAGTTACCAAGCAACCTTGAAAGGTTTGGACTATGCAGTCTAACTCGATTTGGGAAGAGAGTATACCAATCCAGTTATTATTGTGGGAGACCTACCCATTTTCAATTCAGAAAAAAGTGATCGTAACTCTGAGACCAAAAAAAAAAAAAAAAAGCAATCTAAAGCAGATGCCAAAGACTCAGCGCCGTAATCCTAGCTACTCAGGAGGCTGATATCCAAGGATCACAGTTCAAAGCCAGCCAAAGCAGGAAAGCTTAAGAGCCTCCAGGCTTCAATTAATTACCAAAACAGCTAAAAGTAAAGCTGTGGTTCAAGTGGTAGAGTGGTAGCCTTCAGCAAAAAAGCACAGCAACAGTGTCCAGGCCCTGAGTCCAAACCTAAAACCTGTTAAGACACTATTTCAAACCTAACTCTGGACAACTTTCCTGTCAATCACTTTATTACCCACATAGACTAGACTACAAAAAGGACAAGGAGAAGGGATTAAAAAAAAAAAGCATCAAAGAATTGTCCATGAAATAAGAGATTAGTGCAGATACCAGGGAAACACTAGACTAATCCGGTGAATACCATATAACTCCATTTCTGAGGTTACCCTAAACTTCTATGATTCAAGACTGTAGTTTTCATTTTTGTATACCTTT